AAATATTCCGAAATGTTTTAATTGTATATTATTATTATTCTTGTGAAAGCAACTCGTTTCACCGTATTTGCTTTTACTATCTTAAATGGTTTTTATTTAATATATTTTTGAAACGATACTGTGCATGTGTTGAATTCTATAAAATCATTAACTGGGAAATTTTGTTCTATAAAGTTGAGTTTAAAAAATCGTCAATTATTATACTAAATTCTGTAAAATGAAACTATATATCTGATACAAATGTAACATTTCACATTTGTTCTGATCAACTTATACTTACTAGTTTATACATTTGTGTGCCTATTTAACTGTAAACATTAGTCTATATTGATATCATGCGTAGTGTAGGTCAATCAATAACAAATCTTTTATGTTATATATTGTATCATAATATAATTTATATAGTAAATTCAAATATTAAAAAAAATTTCAATTTATAAGTGAGTAAATAATATATAATATACGAGTATATGTATGCATATATTTTTTTTCGAATATTATTTGAAAATACAAACTGTGTTGTGTCTGTTATAAATTGTGTGTATTCTAGGTACATTTGGATAGTTTTAGTGGTTCTCTTTGGACCAGAAGATTTCAAGCTCGGGAGAAATTATAGTTTCATTATATGCACATAAAAGTGATACAATTTTGGTTGAATTTAAAAATTAACTTCACAATAGTTTTAGCTTTTTACACTCCTATAGATCGTAACCAATTGTAACCAACTTTTTAAAATATTCAACCTAACTCTACTAGAGTTATGATCAATTTAAAATGGGAGGACTGGCGGTTCAAGCTAACTAAATTAACTTGAAAACATGTTTAACTATTTGCAACCGACTTTTTAAAATTTGTAACGTCGATATATTAGAGTTACAGCTAATTTTTTGAAGAGGGGCTAGCCCCTCAATTGACTAAGACTATTTAAAATTTAATGAGTCAATAGATTTTCGATGAATACAAAGTACCTATTGTATTATTTATATTGCTTATTAGTTATTTAAAAAATCATTTGACAGTTACGGTTTAAAAAATAAAAGGGTCTTCTCACTGTACTTTTAATTGTATTAGTGAAGATATTCTGACAATTTATTTATTTTTGAGGTTTATTTTAATTTTTATTAGCAAATAGCAAAACAATAAAAAAAACCACTATATATATATATATATATATATATATAAAAACTAAATAATAAATTACATCAAGTAGTTTTAAGATACTGTACGAGTTATACGAGTATAACTAATATAATTATTTATGAGTTGTGACCAATTTTTCAAAGTTTTTTAATTTGAACTATGATTGATAAATTTAAATTGATAGTCTTTAAAAAATCTTTAACGATTTGTAATTAAATTTAAAAAATGTTTATCCAAAAATTGTTTAAAAGAAATAGACATACTTTGCACAATGGGTAGGTCACTATTGTAGGCGAGAAGTTGGAAAGGTAGGATATTTAGGGAAAATTAATTAATACATGTAAGCAACGATAAACCATTAGCGGAGCTCGGTTAATATGTGCGTTTACATGACAACGATACTTTCAGTATAGTCCAGCTATAAATAGATGTATAATAACTATAGTAAGAGATCCAAGAACGTCGCTGTATTCTCCATAACGTTAAAATAAGGCAAAACAGTAAAATAGTAAACTTTTGTCCGCCAAAAATCGACCTTTACTTATTTTAATTGAACCACGATCGATTCTACCGTCGTTGTGGTCGTTATCACCACAATTGTAGATAAACCATGGTGTACATATTATATCCGGAGAGCTGCGCGCTACCCGATATCGTATTATTAAATTTTTTTCGGTAAGTACTACACTAAACTAACGTTTTCCTTCCCATATTAACAGACGTAACTATTTTTATGACCTGTGATCTATTTCTGACCACCACTATGGTTAAAAATGTTTTTTTATAAAAATAGAAATTATTAGAGTTTAATTATGATATAGGTAAGTTAGTAATACAAAATAAACCACAAAAAGAAATATGTCACAACTCTGGAATTTCGAGGTTACACATTTTTTCAAATAGTTTTAGTCAGTTAAAGGAGAGGGGGCTAGCCCCTCTTCAAGAAAATAGCCCTGGTGTAGTAAAGTTACAAATTTTAAGAAGTCGGTTAAAAATAGTTACAAATTAAGCTAAATGAGTCACTTTAGTTAGCTTGGAGGGTCCACTCCCAATTTTTAATTAATTATAACTCTGGTAGAATGAGGTTACAAATTGAAAGGAAAATAATACTATTAATTACTATTGATTTGGTTAATGTGGGGGGCTCACGTGAAGTTGACTCTCACATTGGAAAATGTCAATGTGGCGGTCTTATCTAAATTATTTTACGAGTATGTATAGAATTCAAAAAGTTGCATAATTTAATTTGTGAATTTAAATATATCTAATGCGCGTGAGATTAATGGATACATGTCATCAAGTGTTGATTTAATACCTATTAATGGATTATAAATTTATGTTAAAAATAGTAATAAATTCAAAAGTAATATTTTGATGAGGTGTTCTTCCAGTATAGTACGCATATTTGGTGTTAAATTTTATAGCATATAATATTAAACTATAATAATAAGCAATATACAATTTTAATATAACTACAGGTGTATGTAATATGCACGAATAACAACTTTCGATTTACAATGAATTATATACTATATTTATTTATTTTTTTTTCTAAATTTAGACCAAACGGCTTTTACATAGGTATAAACAAAAATAACAGTGTATACATAATTAGTAATAACATCAAAGCAAAACAAGGGTTAAAGTAATAAAAGTGACAAAATGTTTATCATTTATAGTATACCTAAAAATGACGATTAAAAATAATATTTATCTTACCGTAATATTTATAAGTGAACAATGTAAAAGAAATTTATGAACGATTTAATTGTTACGTGTTGTAGGCCCGTATACAATTCAATAAATTATTGATCATGTTATGACTTTATAATGTCTTTTGTTATGTGCCTTAGATTTTTAATATTCTGTAATATTGTTTTTATAGGTTGTTGTTTTATACTATTTTATTATATATTTATTTAATTCTGAGCCCACATGAAAAAAAAAAAACAAAAACTACTAAGTATATTTTAATATTTTATATTGTAAGTGTAACGAATAATGTATTTGTTTTACAAAGATGTCTATTTTTTTAAGTGAACACTTTTTTTACCAGAAAGCTACTCCGATGTATATACGATATAGACCTTTCCTTAAAGGAAATTTTCTTGGGGTGATACTTTAAGGAAGACATTTTTCGATTTAATCAAGAGTTTTCCAGCAAATGTTAAAAACTGAGGCAGAACATGGGGTGATCGGGAAAAACGTACGAAGATAGGAAGAAGGAAGGAAGGAAAATCGATACAATATTAAACAAATATTCTTAAAGTAAATATATAATACTTATTTAATTATTTCACCATAATATGACATGTATATATATTGTTGACAAAGCATCACTATCAACTGAACTCTGCTCAGAATCGTTTTTAGTAAGCAATGGTTTATCGTTGCTTACAGATACAAATTAATTTCCCCTTCTATATCCTACGTTCCCAACTTCTCACCAACAACAGTGGCGCACCCATCGTAAGAATTAGGTCTGTCTTTTTAAATAAAATTTTAGTAGCTATGGAATGGTTATTGATCAATATAACCAATATTGAACAATGAGTTCGACCGAGTATAATAACTCGATTACGTCCAATGGCGGGACTCTAGTTACAAACCGGGACCATATGCGGTAAGAATATATTAACAGAAATACATAACCGAAAATTGAAAAACTTGAAAAGTTTATACACTATACACTATATACAGTGTCCTATAGTGTTATATGAACGTTATATAACTATTTATCATTATTATTTTTTGGTTCCAATAGGGTATTGGGTTAGTAGAACACATGCATAGAGAAAAATAATTTTTTTTATCCCTTAATCTGATTATCCTTTAAAGTAAAAAAATAACTTAATTTTTTCACTTTTCAAAATAGTAATTTTGTAAAAATATTATGCTATATATTTTAATGTACCATGCATTTATATTCGATCGATAGTTTCTGAGCAACAGCCGTTTTAATTTCTAGAAAATTGGCGTAAAAACAATTGATTTTCAATAAAAGATAAAGAATTGCCGTACTGATTGTGATTTTTCATCGCATAACGTGTTATTCTATTAAAAATTAATTGTTTTCACGCCAATTGTTTAGAAATTAAAACGGCTACTGATCAAAAACTATTGATCGGATATGAATCAATAATATGGTACATTAATATTTTTTTACGAAATAGTTTGCTTGAAAATTTTGAAAAGTGAAAATGCAAAGTTATTTTTTTTCAGTGATTAAGAGATGAAAACAAATTTGTTTTCTACAAATTATGTGTCCCATTGACCTAAACCCGATTGCAAAAAAAAAAAATGATAGAGATATGTAACGTTCATATAACACTGTAGAAAACTTTGTATATACATATATACGAGGTTTGGCTATTAAATAATGAGACTGCATGCGCAGAGAGCGTCCCAAAAAGGTTAGGGGAAAACCGAATACAGCACTGGTTAGCTGGAAGTGTTTATTATGCTAGTACAAAATTGGGTTTTTGTTGGTGCATTAGTATTTTTTCTGTAGCGTTTAGAAACGAACATGTTTTTTTCTCTTGCCGAAAACGATGTGTGACGAAAAACATGAGCAACGGATAAACGAAAAATTTTCTCGTTAAACTAAAAAAAACTCCAACTGAGTACTATAAGTTGTTAAAAGAGGCCTATAGTGAGGATTTCTTATCTCGCGCGCGTGTTTTTGAGTGGCATAGATTATTTTCTGAAGGTCGAGAGTGCACCGGAATCCAATTCAGTCGTAATCCAAATTCAAAACCGTTTTCTTCGATATCAACGGCATCGTGATGACTGAATGGGTTCCAGAGGGTTGAATTGTGAACCAACATTACAATTTGACAGTTTTGGTCGGTCGATATTGTGGAAAAACAAGTCGTGGATCTTGCACCAGGATAACGCATCTGCCCATAACGCGCTGTCTGTGAAGCGTTATTTGGCCGCTTAAGGTACTCCAGTACTCGAACACGCGTCTTATTCACCCGACTTGGCACCCTGTGACTTTTACTTGTTTCCGAAGATAAAGTCTTCCTTAAAAGGAATCCGGTTTGAATCGATGGAAGAGGTGAAACTAAAATCGGCTGAACTCCTGAATGGTCTTACGAAAACAGACTTCCAGCACTGCCTCGAGTAATGGAAGAAACGAATGAAACGGTGTGTGGTGAGTGGAGGGGAGTATATTGAAGGGGAGCATTTGAATGTAGAATAATTTTTATAATAAAACACTTTTTCATAACCAGTCTCGTTATTTAATAGCCAGACTTCGTACATATATATATACATAAACACATTACACAACAAAAGTTAGACATTTTTGTAAAACAATTTTTTTTTCCTCGAGTATTGATTTACTAGTTTCGTTTGCATTAATAATTGGCCAACGCATTGAGTGCGTATAATACTCTAGAATCTAGATTTTTATGTTCCAAGTTTTTAATGTTATCGAAATTTGAACCGTACAAATCTGGAATGAAAATTTTGAATTTCAAAAATAATGTACGTACTGATATTAAAAAGAAAAAAAAACACAAATTCGTTTTAAATAATCACTTATTCTTTTTTTCTTAAAATAAAACCGTAATTATACAGCTCATAAATATAGCATGAATTTATAATTTAAAAAAAAAATATATATTTACTATTTCAGTTGCTACATTTCTGTGAGACATACGCTCTGTACAATATTATATAATAAAATATAACGTCTTTGCTTATACTAAGTATGGTGTTTAAGCCTCGGTATTTATGTAGGTAAGTACGTCAAACGTTTGAGTCTCAATGGTTATAAAATGCGGGTACCATATAAGTCTTTGCGGTCTTATATAATATCTTTTAAATTATAGGTACACAAATAACCGACTGTTATTATTTTAAGAATTTTATTACCATAATGACGTGTTACAGGTTATATACATTTTTTTTTTCATTCTGCAGTCAATTTTACTCTTATTATATGTATATTACGACATTCTATAAGAAACGAAATTCAATAACGTTGTAATAATATCCAATAATTATCCGTGTTTTTTATTATATAAACAGTAAATTAAAAGAATTGTATACATTTCGGATGTTTATAATAATTTAATTAGTTTTTAAACAATGAAAAAATATCAGCAAATAACAGCTTAAAAAAAAAATGAACAAACGAACAAAAATTGTATGTTTAAACATTATTTTTTGTAAATATATTATAATCGATGATAATTTTAAACAAAATCGTATCATTGTTATTAAATAACAAAATAACAATTGAAAAATAAGTGTATTTCTTTTTCCAAATATGAAGTATATATGAGTATTGGTAGTAGGAAGCAGGAAGTAATAGGAACTGTTCATTTTCAACAGTCCGAAACAGACACGTATTTTTGTGCCTATTGTAATAAACAATTACTCGTTTCTAGTACTATTAATCTTAGTTTGCGGCTATAATCAATAAACAATAGACACAATTAAATAATTGATAAGCAAGAATGTATATTGGCCACCGAGTCAGTTTATCTGGTGACGATGTACTCACATATTATTATTGTTTCTAATAACTATACAACGGTTGATAAATATTAATTTTAATATTATAAATCAACGAAAAAAAACTATAGTATCTATAGTACCTAAACGTATTGTAATATCAGAATAAAATATACGGTGTTGTAATTTTGTGCCCAAACGTGTCACAATTTGGATCAAAATAACCAAACCTATAGTAGTCGTGTTTTACTATATTGATTTTTGATGACTATAGAAAATGTATATATTTTATGCTGCAGGATTATAATAATAAGGATTATGATAATAATAATATTTAAGTATGACTACGTTAAATCAAATTTACAGGGTAGTTAAAACATTATATTATAATAATCAATTGTTTTATTCCGGATTCATGGTATTAATTTATCGAAATTTTCTGATTTTCCTAATTGGGAGGGTGGAAGTTCCCACCGTACATACGGTTCCTATATTTTATTCATTGTTTAATTATTCAACGAATACTCGGCGTCTTATAAATATTGTAGCATTCCAAATTAAATTTGTTTTTGCCTGTTTTCTAACTCTTAAAACTAAAGATATACATTATTCCAGGAATAAAAAAGTTCCGGCAGTAGGTAAACAAAAGAAATAGCATCACTAACGAAGAAAGAAAAATAACCTCGTGGAAAAACTACTAAAACGACCATGACGGTTAAAAAGAATATTATTTTCTACCGAGTTGGAGAGAGTAGGTATAGGACCTATATATAGCATAATTAATTTCGCTTCTGTTTTTCCAAACGTTAAATGAAACGAATCGCGGTTAAAGTAAAGCTTTCAGTAATCAACCCTGTGGAAAATAACTGGGTGCCAATATTAAGATAAAAAACGCATAAAAAAAAAAAACAAATAAAATTCATTACCGTAGGATTTAAATGGAAGTGAAATTTCTGAGGGAAATAACGACATTGATATGACGATGACGATGACGTATCGATGACGTATGCGCTTGTAAGATGTATGTATCTTATCAGAAATCATATTAACGAAATTGTGATAAAATATACTTTTTTATATGTATGTATGTATGTATATGTATAGACGCTGTTTAAACAACGTAAAACATGCAATTTTTCAATTTTTATGCAGGTAATAAACGATTATTTTTATATTTATTGCTATTTTGTATGGACAGTAGATCATTTATGTGAAAAATTAGTTTTGTTTAAAGTTTGGCAAATATCCGAAATTTTCAATGCAAATAGGAAATTTATTCATATATAAGTATAAGTATAAGTATGCGTATGCATATATCAGTAGTTAAATCGGTTTTAAGTATAAATTTGGCGCTGTCCCAAATCGTAGAATTCATTGTACATAATATGTCCGTCACATTGATTTAGAAATCTAATCCTTCAAAAAAAAAAAAAAAAAATATAATAATAATAATACATTCCATGGTATGCTCAGAGTTTAAAATAATAGACTCGCCCGTTGGGAATACGAACCCGAAAATAAATGTTATTTTTCTGCAATAAATATTGTACGGTCATCAGTGCCACGGTAAATGCATATTTTAATATAATATATTATTATTATTATTATTATAGCAGTTCAATGTGTTCACTTATTAAATTTGCCTTCACTATTAAGCCCCAGTTTTTAAAAGTCCCCTTAAAATCCATAGTATTTTAAAAATAATGTCTGGTTATTTTTATTATTATTATTTTTTTTGAGAATAAATTGTTAAACATAAAACCATACAAAAAATACAATATACTATACTGCTGAGATGGATAAGTTGCCGCGATTAAGTGTGGTTAAATGGCTAGTTATCGTAGTTTTATTTATTACAATTTCTATAACGGTGGTTTCAGCGGCGAACATGCAAACAACTTGTAACCAAAAGATAGTAATTTCATGAGATCGTTATAGGTATAAAATTATTTTATAATCAGGATTTCAAAGGAATCGAAAATGTATAAAAAAAAATTATATGACATATATATTTGGTCTTAGGGAAAAAGGGCTTAAAGTGGTATAAAATGACAAAGGGTACTTGATCCCTATTTTGTTTTAAGCGTTTTATACGTTTAAATCGCATTACTGTCCTCAACAACGAATAATTTTAAAAGGAATAGGTAATTTATTAATTTGTCCAACTAAAAATTTGTTTTATCGCTTTATACACCCAAAAAAACTTTTTGAACACCCCTAAAGTTTGATGGAATAATTATCATGAAAAATCTGTTTACTTTATAATTTGTTTATTATTATTATTATTATTATTTTTTTTTTTTGCAGGATTTTGACAATGACATAAAAATGATAATATTGGCATAACTTATAGGTAGGTTACAAATTAAAAGTATTATAAGTATATACTGTTTATTAACAGTATAATTTACCTATTTATATTTCAACTGGATGATCTTGGATTGAAATGGCCTTTTGAAAGGCAACAGGGAGTATCGAAATTCACATTTTCAGATAAATTTCAAATTTTTAACCATTTAGGTTAGGTAAAGTTTGGTTAGGTCACATGCGCAGCATGACTTACTTTTTGTAATGTAAACTCTAATTATTTTCTACACATTTAGGTAAAGTTGTATTTTTTAAAACAAGAAAAAAACATTATAATTACAAAATTGGCAAAATTACAGTATGTTGAAATTAGATCTGTGTAAAAATAGCAAACTAATAATATTCAGGATAGTTAGATTATATAAATTATATAATTATCTTTGCTGAAATTTCTTTATAAATAGATTATTCTTAAATATCATATTGCAGTGTACTGACAATTTGTAAATTTTTTAATTAAGAAAAAACAATTTATACAAAAGTAGTTTAAAAAAAAAAAACCTAAAAATTTGAAATGTCATTTATAAAAAAAGTAAGTTGAACTACGCATTCACGGACTAAAGGTGTTTCAAATTTTAAATTTAAGTCTAAAAACATATGTATTATGATACGCTCTATAACCTCCCAAAAATCTCATTTCAATCCAAAATAATGTTGGTAAAATATTTAATGGTGCATTATACTGTGAACCCACGGTATAATTACATTAAGTAAATTATTACATGAATACAATTACACAAAGAATGGTAAAAATAAAATTCAATACAGACTTTTTTGGTTTAACTTAGAGACTTCAACGTACCTGCGTACCTATTGAATATTATGCTAAGGAGGGCACTTTTTAAGTTCAGTCATTGGTAGGGGAACTACATCATCTTCCCCATCCTCACTGTAACCGTCACTGTTAATATTTTTTTACAATTTTGTCAAATGTAATTTGTTTTTCTTTACTTTTCTGTCTAAATTGCATGAGAGAATGTATTTTCAAAATTTAATTTTCTTGTGCTGAAAACTATACACAATTAACTTAAACCCTTCTTATCTGAGGCTAAAGATATAATATATTATTGCGAACATCAGAGCCAGGCAAAATACGTTCCGTGAAAATATTTTTTCATAATACTATCTACATAAACGATTTTAATTTTATTACGGGAGAAACCAGGCATATATTATTATATTAAGTAGGTTTACAATTAATTACGATTAAATATTACATGTACAATACATAATAATTCATATTTCATAGTATGAAAAGCTTAATATTAAATGAAATTGAAAACTCACACAATATATATTAAATACTTGCGACACATAAAATAGCGTGTAATAGAATAAAAAAATAATAAAAA